CGGAGAGGGGCAACCCTAGCAAGCAAGATAGGGCTAGATTGGAGCACAAATTTCACAGAGGTTAGGGACTATAATGTGGGCTCAATGTGGTTTGCTGGGGCATCTGGAAACCACAGAGATGCAAGATTGGGAGTAGGCAGCAGAAGAAAGATTCTTCCAGGAGGTGGGTGCATTGTGGGTGGGTAATAGGAGGGCTGGGCAGGGAGCCTGGGAAAGCAGGCAGCAGCTGTTTCTGCAAAGGCCCTTGTGCTAGGTGGGAAGGTGGACTTGCCTCCTGAAGAGGTCAGCTGGCAGAGGATGCTGAGCAAAGCAGCAGCACCTTAGCGTGGGGGGGGGGGGCAGGGAGACACTGGGTATGGGGTGACACTGATGGCAGGAGAGCAGTTGGCGGCCATTGTTTGATTTTTTGGGAAACAACCAGGGCAGGAGAGGAGCGAGCTGCTGTGAGAGGACCTGGAGAGGAAGCAGCAGTGTGTAGATGTTGAGGCCGTGGGGGAGTGAGGTGCAGGAGGTAAGCAGTGAGTGGCACAGGGGGCGGGAGACGAGAGCAGGGAGGCCCTGGCTGGCTGCAGCTGGATAGGCTGGACTTGATTCTCAGCAGATGTGGGCAGTGGGGTCAGACGAGATGAGACAGGGCTGTGCCCAGTGGGAGAAGCAGACACAATGTTGTTTCTCTCTGTGGCTCTTTCTGACCGACATGGTCCTGAGTGTAGGCTCATATCCGACCCAGTGTCTGAGGGAGCCGGGTCTGGGGCCACGATGCCTCCTGGGCACCAGCTCAGAGGCGGAGTAGCCCAGTATTACACCGTGTAATGGCTCTCTTTGCCCTCTTAGCACCTCTGTGAGGCTTTGCCACAAACAAACCCACCACCGCTGCCTTGCTTGGTCCCTTTCAGCAAATGCCGTCTCTGTGAACCACAGAAAAGTATCACCGGAGTATTTATTTTGAGTGGCTGAACGCTACACTTCCTGTGCGGTGTTGGGGGAAAATTGGTGGTTATTATTCCAGGGAAATGTCAAGATGGCTAAATACTGCAGCAGTGTGACCTGTGTTACGTTGAACAAACTCCCCACATGTTTCTCATAAAAACGCACATCAGAGATGGCTTCGAACTGGATGTCAAACTCAGTTAAAGGCATGAGCTTCTTCAAATTTATTTTCAATATCAAACAGAACAGGGGCACATCCACACGAGCCCTTTCTTCACGAGGCGGCCCCAGGGTGAGGGATGCAGCGACTGTGTGTGTCACCCCCTCTGCTGAGTCAGGCCTCTCCTCACGATGACCTCAGGCCACTTTCCTTGGGTGCTCCTGAGAGACACCCTCTATCAGTGTTTCAAAAAGGAATATGTTATTTAAAAATAAACCCATGCTTTCCCTCTTACTTGACCTGTGTGAGAATTTACCTGGCTGGATCCATACGTATATATTTTCCAACCTAGACAGTTTCTCCATGCAAATGATACTTTGATTAGATATGAATAAATCTGTTCTTAGTTCATGGAGTGCCAACCAGAGTAGTTGATGAAACTGTTGTGCCTTAGAGGTTGGCAGGGCAGCCATGCTTTCAAGGCCATGCCTGAACTGCTTAAAAATCTTGGTGTTAGGGGCAACAGTTAAGATGATGGTTGGGGTCGGGGCAGGTGTCGGGAGGCCCCCCTCTTGCGGTGCCTGCGTTCTGTGGGAGTGCCAGTTTGTTTCCAGTTCCTGACTTCAGATCTAACTTCCTGTTAAATGTGCCTGGGAGGCAGCAAATGATGGCTCAAGCGCGTGGGCCCGTGCCACGCGCTGGGAGAGGCAGATGGAGTTGTGCACTCCTGGCTCCAGTCCTGGCTGTTATGGTTATCTGGGGAGTGAACAAGCCCATCCTCTGTCTGTACTTTCACATGAAAACAAAACAGCATTCAAACACTATATGGGATTCCCAGACCCCATACTTGAAGTGTCTGGGTTCAGGATTCTGGCTCTGCTTCCTGCTCAGGCTAATGGGAGACAGTGGGTGATGGCTCCCATGCTGGGGCCCAGGCCCATGAGTTCCAGGGTCCTGGCTTTTCATCCTGGCGTACTATGGCTATATCTGCCTAAAACAAAACAAAACTTAGCTCCGTGCTCTGCGAGACTTCAAGCACAGTGTGTTGTATCTTTCTTTGGGGTCTAATTGGTGTCTGCTTGGCAAACCACCAAGGCTTCCTGCTGCTCCTGACCTGGGGTGGGGTCAGGTCATGTGGCTTGTGGCGGAGGAGGGCTGCACTGTGACATTGCCTAAGCAGTGTGACGTGTTCTGTGTCTCCTGCACTATTTTGTAATCCAGTCTTTGTGGATTTTTGGAATATGGGCACTCTGGTTTTAAAACCGTGTTTCTGAGTTACTGCTGAGTACTGGTGTCCTTAGTGGTGACCCAAAGCCTGCTTTTCTCTCATCTCTTTGCCATGGAAGCAAACCCTGCCAGGCTGGAACTGCGTAGTGTGTTAAGTGTTGACCCTGCAGTCCAACTGCCTGCGATCCAATCTCTGCTCCTTCCCTGGCCAGTGCAGCCCTTTGCGCCAGGAGCTGTGGCAGGTGGGTGTTGCCTTGTACAGTTGCTCTGAGGACTCCGAACGAACTAACAAAGCACTTTAGAAAGAGTGTGGCAGTCTCTGTGAAAAAGCTAGATCTCCTAAGATTGTTAGGCCACTTGAGAGATTAGCCAGAGACAGGCCAGTAGCTATCTGTGTGCGATTTTTCAGATCAGAATGATTTAAAAGTGTTAGCACCCCAAGAAAATGGTAACAACAACAACAACAACAACGACTTTTAAAAGAAAATGATCAGGCTGGGCATATCAATATTTATTGAAACACTGAAAAAAAAATTCCATGTTGTTGAGAAATTCCTGGCAAGAACTGACACGACATGTGTTTCACTGACACAGTAAGAAAACATCGACAAGCATCGGGTCTCGCACTCACAACACTGCGTGTTCAGATCCGAGGCAGCTGCAGAATTCCGTAACACAAATGCTCAGACGTCACAGACTGTCTGCTCGCAGATTGACCATGATAAGCCAAGCTAAGCCAAAAAGCCTTTAGAAGCAACCTGCTTTTCCTAATGCTATGTCATGTAATGGAGCAGGTGGTTGCTAAGCGAAATGTCTGATTGCAAGCTGGTTCACAGTTACCGTGAGATGTTCCTCTTGCCCATGAGGGACGAGTCTGGCATCTTGTGCCCTGGGTGTCAGCGGCAGTGTTGCCTAACTGTAACCGAGTAGGTCAGCAATGTATTGGCATTTGACATTATTTAGGTTTAATGTTCAGTGGGGAATACTGAATACAGACTCAGTGTAGAGTCTGTATTTTAAGAGTGAATTTGGTTTTGCAAAGTTGGAGACCCTCTGGATCTCACATTCCTTCCCACGCCTGTTACACACCGCAGTGGAACCATCCTGTTCCCTGTGGCCGGCACCCTCCCTCTGCACGTCGTCTGCTGACCAGCGCAGCAGGAGAGAGCACCGACGTAGCCACTCCGTGTGCTTTGGGTATGAGCGCTGCCCAGCCATTTCTCACTACCTTGAGGCATGAGGATAACACAGGTGACCGAGATGCCCAACTTAGCTAACATGTACCCTTCATGTGGACGAGTATTAGAGGTGATTAAGTAATAAAATAATCCTCTTTGTACACACTGAAGCGAGAACTCATATCTTTGGTATACAACTTACAATGGCTGGAAAGGAAAACCAGGTTAAGACTCTGTCTTGTTGAATTTACTTAAAAACAGGAAGCTACAAGTCACATAATTTACAATAGATATTAAATAAACTACAGTAAGAATGATGAAGATTTACAGACATTTAATCAAGTGAATGATTTTAAGTCATGAAGACCCTTCTATGTCCCTGAACTATGTTGCACTAACTTGAAAACACGCTACAGTAAACACATATATTTGGTTTCTTCAGTCTTGGCTATATCTTATACAAAGGTGAAACCAAGGAACAATAAATTAGCATCATAATTGTCTACAGTTGAAACTATGATATACAATATAAATAAACTATTCAAAAGCCAGAAACATTTATGAAAAAAAAAGGGACCAGGAGATACCTTTATTCTTTAGTTTCCACAAGTGATTGTGCTGCCGATAATCTCAAAAAATTAAAGTCTAAATGAGATTCCCGTGTTTTGATTTAGTGTCTCACGACATACAATAATTAAAAAGAATTAAGGAAAAGTACTGCTTTCATTATTCTGATATCACAGTCGCCCACCCCCTGTGCCCGCCGTCCCTAAACAATGTAAACACTAGGTTTCCTTTTACTTGAAAGTGTTAATACTTTAGACAACTGTTGGTCCGCGCCTGCACAGCTACCTTGGAGAATGGTGAAATAAGGCAAGACTTTTCTACCTGTGGCATTGCATCCTAATAATACTGATACTGTGTTTTGCAGTTTGTCTGCCCTTTTCTGTCCCCCCCAGTATTTGTTCTACAGCTGACTCTGGTCTCTTAAGAAGTCCAGCGTGTGTCTCTTCCCTTTGGAGAAGGTTTGCAGAGTTCTAATTCCTTTCCTGGCTGTGTGTAAAACGCTGTGAGTTTAGGAGATGTGCAATTGCAACATGACCAGACCCTCGAGTCGGTGACATCATCATCTTCTCCTTCCTGTTTGCATAGCTCAACGTGCTTCGGCTGCTTTCCCACTTCCTCGGACTGTGACTGCCATCCCTGCCCGGTAAAACACGCGGAATGCTTTATTATCAAACGAACTACAAACCTTGATGATTAGAAAGACCGATGCATCCTAATAAGCCTTTGGGCCAGAAATGACTATGATTTTTAATGAAATCCAACAGTGCCAAAGCCACACATTTCGGCAACGGTAGCGGAATAAGGTGTCACTCAGTTCAGCTAGGGAGCAGGTGCTTTTGCAGTTTGCAGTCATTTCCCTTGAAATGAATGAATGCTCATGTTAACACAGAAGAGGGACACTGCCTGCTTGTTAACATCACAGAACACATGACAAAAATCAACCCGAGAGCTTCTTGTAGGTGGCACGCTAACGTATTAAACAGACTGTTCTCTTGGGCTGCTTGCGGTCCAGGGTACAGTCGAGTCTAGGCTTTCCGCGATCAGGTGGAGCAGCTACTAAGCGTGTAGCCGAATGTAGGCCCTGGTGGAGAACTCTGAGGTCCCAGGGCACATGAGGGGCCACTGCAGGTGCAGGTGCAGCTTCCCCTGTAGACAGGCCAGTCCAGCTGTCCCTTGGAGGAGGCCTGTGATCCCAGAGCCCCCCTCGCCCAACGCTGTACATGCCTGATTGATGATACAGATGGGTTCCTACATTTCTTCATAGCGGAGATCAATTTAAATATACAAGAACTGTTCTGTCCATTTCTATTCCGACAGTGTCAGCATCCGCCTGTGAGTTCAGTCCGTTCCCTCCCAACACCTCTTACGTGGAATCCTTTGGGGATGGGAAGCCTTTGATTCACAGTTTGCAATACAAATACCCTGATACATCATTTATTCGCTAGCAAGTATCTGATTATTATGCCTTTGCCAAGTCACCGTCTCTCAACCAAGCTTCCCGTGAGTGTGGCTTGGAGCAGTTCAGAGTATTTTTCTTGAAACGATTCCCTCCTTGTTGCCGTTCCCCTCCCTTCACAAAGCTCCTGCGACTTAGGCTCTTTTAGCATGCAGCATCTCAATGAGGAGGTTATTGTAGGGCACGTCCCCGTTCAGGTGCTTGTAGTAGAGGTATTCTTCAGCTTGCATGCTGATGGCCCGGATTTCCGGAAGTCGCAGCAGCAGCTGCCCGAACTTCTCCGTCTGCTGGGGGTAGTTGCACATGGTGTAGTCCAGGAGGGCGGCGTTGACTTGCTCCTGGACCCCTTCCACCAGCTGGAAGTTCTCAAGATTTTTGACATCTGCATGTAAAACACAAAAAGACAACCATTTCAATGGCGTTTTCAGTTCCTGTGTACAAAAGCAGCGTGTTCAATTAATGGAGTTATTTGTTTTCCTCTTGACAAAAAAAGCATACTTTACATGCTGCTGAATATGCAGTAAGCCCCACTCACCACGCTTCCTGGGAAAAAGGATCACAAAAAAGGGGGAGGGGGGCTTGAGAATGTCTTGTTGAAATTCTGCCTCTACCTCACATCAATTAGACACCAATGGGTTTGGAGCAAGGTCAGCTCTCTTCGTATCTTGCACAAAAGGAAAGGTCTGAGGATTCCTCCAGTAGAGGGATCATAATATACTGCCAGCAAATGAGTCCCTGGAGGGAGACCTATCTTACCCCAGTATATTACACAATTCGTATAATTCTGTATTAATTTTTCTGACCCAAGGTGAAATCTGTGTCCAGGGTATGATGTAGTTAATTCTAATAAAAAGTGACAGGGTTCTTGTTTCTGTTTGACATTTCCTAAATGATTCTGAAAGCCTTTGACTTTTTGAGCCTATGCTAATGAGCCATCTGGTACACTCCAATGATTGCCAATGGAATATGCGCTACTGGGGACTTTGAAATATATAGATCTTGGTGACTAATGATCGCCGGCAAATGAAGGCCTGGTCCTGCAGGCAGAACACGAGCCAGCACTGTCGGTCGGTGTCCCTTACCCTGGACGTGGGTTCTAAAGTCTGACACTGCCTTCCCTTCCCTCACCTTTGCTATTTGCTGACACTGATGGGACAGAGCAGGGCAGGTCACCCTTCACGGCTTTTGCTGATCATCCAGGGGTTTGAGACAGCTGTCTTGGTGGCACATGGACCATGAGGGGAAAATCCTACGCTGGAATTTCTCTTCACATGACATACCCATAATATAAAAGAATCTGGAAGAAACATACAGATGTCTGACAACACATGTGTAGCCGCCCACCTGCTCTTGCACTGGGTGAAGGGAACCACATGCTGCTATGACTCAAAAGCAGGAAACTCGGAGTGGTTGCCATGGTAACTCATGCCCCCGCTTTTTTGGCACAGCTAGCTTTTAAACTTTTAGCCTCTGTGCATGCAGGGGGTTTCCAGTCAAGTTCCCTGGGCTTTGTGGCTGCAGCGTGTCCAGGATGCTGTGTTTGGGCGCGGGCCGTATCTTTGCATTAAACATCAGTCTCTGACACAAATTACAGATGGCAAGGGATGGGTCCTGAGATGGCCATGCAGTGAGGGGGAACCCACGTTCATTTCAAAGTGAGCTGCGAAAAAAGATTTTGATGAATTCTTCAAGTGCTACCCCAACTTGGAGCTGTGCCTCCACTTGTGCCACTTAAAACTGTCAGCAAGTTGGTATCCACCTGACATCTTATGTATGTGATGTTTCTCCTATCTCCTATTGAAAACATTTTTATAAATGATGTAAAATTACTTAAAAATGCCTTAAACAAGGCTATGGACCTGCAGCCCTACTGGCTTCCAGATGATGGAAGGCAAGGCATCAGAAATGGCCTGGCTACGGGGTGCCTCTGTCCACCACAGCAGGAGTCGAGCTGAGTTCCTGATCACGGCCTTGAGAGTATTGCATTATGCTATAGTGAAACCTCCTCTTCCGAGCAAGGAGGGCTCACAATGGTGAGAGAGATGAGGCAGGGATTGGCAAGATGGGAGAAATGTGAAATCACAGCCTTTAAAGAAGCTTATAGCTGAGACTTTTTATACCCGTACTTTTCGAGGGCCAGGGCTTTATCATGCCACTTTGTCAAGGACAAAGGTAAAAATGACGCCCAACCTAGAAACGGGATGACGGGGCGGCCCTTGGCGTCTTCACCAGCAGCTGTCCTGGAATGACGCGCTCAGGTCTCCATCCCTGGCCTCGCCCAGCCTGGCCTCGGCTCCCTGCACATTTGGAAATGCTCACCCCCTCCTCTGAGCAGGCGAACACGCAGGTCAACCACATCTTGCCCAAAGATGCCATTTTCCCCTGAAGCTCGTCAGAGGTCACCCCACTGAACTACAAACTTGCTATTCAGCCCACAAAGTTGCTGAATAGACCTCAAGTTGGTAAACCCGCAAAGTCTAACTTGCCAGTCCCCTGCAGCTTTTGTCTACACAGGTGGAATGATTCTGACGGTCCTGCTGCAAGGTTAGAGGGAACGGGAAACACTGGAGGAAGTTCTGATTGACTGCTCTCGTTTGCTGACCGAGCAGTTCCGGGTCACTGTGCTCCTGGGCGCCTTGGTGCTGACTTGGTCTAGTTCACCGTTCCTCCCCCCGGAAGGGGCTGGGGGTGAGGACTGTGCCTCCCCAGAGACTAGGCCAGGAACTGTTACTTGACATTGTCGCTGTATTATTCAAGACTGATAAACTCTAGGCTGTGTCTGTGCCAATTTCCGAGTATCTGATGACATCTCTCTTGTCATCCGACAGTGAAACTGTGATCCAGTCAGTCAAGTCTTGAGGGAGGGTTGGGGTGGTCCCCCTGGCCGTGTACTCATGGGGACCGGGCTCACCTGCCACCAGCCTTGAGTCTTGGGAATTTCGAGGTCTCACAGGGGGATGCTGGGTTTTCTACTGGAGCTGAGGCTGTTCCCAGGGACTGAAAAGCAACCAAGAAGGTTGGTGCCAGTTTCCCGGAGGGCACAGGGTACTGTGTGACTCACTTTCACTTACATTTTAGGAAGTGTCCAGAAACTCTGGGAACTGGATTTCATGGATAGTTAAGTGATTCAACTACGGACCTACCGCAGGAGTCCATCAGGCTCCTTTAATTGTGAAGGGCACCTGACACACGTGGGAGTCCAAACATTCCAGTGAGAGAGAATTCAGAGGCATGTTCAGAAATGCAGGTTTTGAGATTTGCTGTTGGGTTCCCATAGTGCATGGCATGGTCCCACACTGGAATTTATATTGGTATTTAAAAATCTTTTGAGCGAGCGAGCGAGCACTGGGCTGAGAGCTGGGACCTTGCCGGCATGAGTGCTGCAATGGTCATCGCGGCTGCCTCCGAGGGCCAGCAGCAACGAGGAGCTAGCGTCAGGAGTGGAACTGGGACCGGCAGCCTGGCCCTCTGATGCAAGCTCGGGGTGCTCTCACAGGTGACTCAGCCGCTGCATTTCAGCAAGTGACCCCCAGCTGCAGGGCCGAAGGGGAGTGCTGCCAGCTTTGCGGTGGCATTTTGTGCCTACAGCCCCTTTGAAATTGCTGAGTTTCCTTTTCATACAATTTTAAAGCACCCGTTAATGAAGCCCATCATTACACATTCTGAGTTGGAAACTGTACCCAGGCCGAGCCTCCCCCACCCCTTCTTTATCCCTTTAAATCTTGATGACTGGCACGAGCGCAGTGTATTGTTCTGCTAGTACCCATCTCTTATCATTGTATTCTGCTTTATTCACTCAGGGACTAATTACCCACTTTTATATGAAGCAGCATTACAAGGAGCTCACAGTGGGGTGCTCAGAGGTTTTCTCTTTTTTCCATCCTTATTGGGAAGTAAACCCTTAGGTCTTCTTGAATACATTACGGCGGCAAGCGGATTCCCCAGCCAGACCTAGCATCCAGCTGCACTCTGAAGCCCCTGGTGGCTGCAGCGGTGGCCATGGCCCAGGGACCAGCCTGTGTAACACATTTCTGGGGACGGGTCCTTGGACGGGTGGGGGAGGGGGGAACAAGGAGCACCATTTGAATCGAGCAGGTTACCTTCCACTTAAAAGAAAAATCATTGTTCATGTTTTTCCAGTGACACAAAAGAGAAATTAACCTGGTTTTTGAAAAAGACAGCCACGGTGGGAAGAGAAAGGACAGGATTCTGCCCCTGGAGAATATCTCTTCATCCCAGGAGACCCCAGGCTGGGGTAAGCCAGGAAAGGGAGAAAAAAAAAAGTTTTCTCCTAAGATTTCATGTGTAGGACTGAGCCTGAATAATTTGTACACACAGTTTGGTAAGGGGAGGTAGCAGAGTGACAGGTGGGGTCCCAGAGGAGCCGCGTGCTCTTACAGAGGCAGCCGGGGCCATTTGGGGGTCCAGGGAGGAGCAGATGTACAGGGTGTGGCGGGCAGGAGACTGCAGGTGCTGCTGGTGGAGATTAGACCCTGTTCCCCATTTCTAGAAGACCTTTCCCCTCAAGACTTTAAATTCCTTCTTAGCAGTCACAGCAGCATCTGTGAGAGGACCTCAAAAATGCTTGTGGAAAATGAATTCAAGGTTGAGCTTACTTAAGGACACAAGAGGCCCGGGCTTGCGGGTCAACGGCTGGGACCCACCAGGTCAGGAGAGAAGGAGGGGAGTGATGGAGGAGGAGCCAAAGAAGGCTAGTTCATAAGGAATTCCACCTTGAGACTCAGGAGTTATGAAGATGCTGAGGCAGCAGCACTTAGCAAGAACCAGTCCATGCACGAAGCATTTGTCTTCCCCATGTGTTTTCTCGATAGTGGAGAAGGTATTGCCATACCCGTTTTCCAGATGGGTAGTCTCCTCCTTCCAGGGGCTGATGGCTTTGTCTAGGATGATGACACCGATGAGCAGCAGGTGGTGAGGTTCCGAGCAGGCCTGTCTCCTAAAGCCTCCACCTCCTCCATCCCAGGACAGCAGAGGGTGTGGGGACTGGACCCTGCACACCTGCCTGGATACTGTCACCTGCTTGAGTGGGGCAATGGGATGTGCTGGCTAAGGACAGTGTAGATCCCAAAGGGTCCCATGAAATGTGAAGGAGGAGAAACAGGCAGGCAGGGACTGAAGGGCGCAGGTGCTTTGTGACTTTGCATAAACACGATGGACAAACGGGTGCCTATGAAGTCACCAGGTGGTACCTTACCAGACCACATCGATCATATGGCCTGGGGTTAACTGAAACACCTCGTGGTGCACACCTGTACTACTGACACTTACCCCCAGCAGGTGACAGACCTTGAGTTTGGGTGACGGTGAAGGAAGCTTAGCAACCTAAATGCCACACTCCCCTATTACAAATAGACTGAGTGC